TCATGAGTATCCTTATCAGTGAGGGTTAAGGGAAGGGAGTATTGCAAGGCGACGGTCTTATGGCCTTAGAATGGTGGGCGGAGAGGATCTGAGGCGTCAAGCCTTCGACATAGTTCTAGCTCTAGTATCCACCCATTTCTGAAACTGCGGACCTGCTCAGAAGGGATCCACTTCTCACGTAACAATCGCGGAAAATGTATGCACAGTATGACGGTTGCCCATGGGAAGGGGGAAAAGTTCAAGCGTCATCCGGGAGGGTCAATGGAACTGCGTTGGACCTTTCGAACAGCTCCTCCTCCTTGCTTTACCACCTTTCAAATTCTTCTAGACTTTTCCGGTCACAATGGGGTAACGCCTTCCTGCTTCTGGAACATTCATGAATGCAAAGCTAACTTCAAAGTTACTTTCTTGTGAAATATTATGCGTCACGCGATTGCTACGATTTATTTTCAGTCCAGTCGTGCGGTGCTCTTCTGGTCGCTCCAGGGGCTGTGAAATATCCACCCGGAAACAATTACCTGGACGGCGTTACAGTGACATTCACCTGCAAACCGGAGTACTTTATTCATGGCAGTCAACAACGAACATGCGTGAATGGTTCATGGACACCTGGTTGGCATGTTTGGTGCAGATGTGAGTTTTTTTTTGGGAGAACATACTTTGGCAGTGATATCTTAAGTGTGGGGAGAGGTACAATGTTGCGATATCATTGCGAAGGGGGTGGGAGAGGGTATAAGCCGGAAAAAAGTAGTAAGATCACGTTTACCTCGGATAGGGTAAAGGAATTCGAGCGTCATCGCATGGACCAAAGAGTTTATGTGTGGCGGCTCAAACACCCGTTGTGCTCCTTACTGACGCCCTTCCCTCACTCCCTTTCCGTTTTGAATGGAGCCATGCATCAATGAACACTGCAAATAGCCTGCCCATAGATGTGCCTCCTCCTGGCTCCTAGAATATCAAAGAAACCTCACGCAGTCCTTCACGTGGACGCGGCTATCTTGCGGCGACCAAGGGTTCTTAAGGAGCGAACGAAAAGCCTCCGTTCTTAATGACTCAAGGAAAGCGATTTTGGACGAATTCCCGTAGGCATGATGCCAATAACCGCTACGCTAGCTACGGCTGCGCGTATGTTCTCATATATCCATACAGTACCGCAGCCGCTTCATTCACTCCCTTCGCTTCAACTTCTGCATAGAAAGTGAAGCAATACGAGCATCAGGAACGTCGTCCCACTTGGTGAGCGGGCGCGCGCGGTTGGCGCCGTCGGATCGGTATGTTCGTCGTCGTACAGCCTTCTATTAAAAGATTACCTCCCCGGGAAAAGGCGCTACGCGCACCTGCCAGTGCGTCGCCGGAATTCCATCCTGCCAGGCATATTAAACCTATTCGTCTTTACGATTTATCGTGCCAACTGCCTTTAAGCTGGATTGGACCTACAGGGCATTTCATGAATTACGACTGATTTCTTATTGATCGACGAAAAAGGAGCCGCAGCAACAGCGGCGCATTTTGCGGCCACATTTGCTCAAGGCAGCTTCGAACTCCATTACTTTTAATGCGGTCTTGCATCGAATTACAAATTGTTCTAGGACTCGATTTTCATGCCGGTGTTTTGCTAGAGGCACACATCCTTGACTCTACCTCTTGCCACGCCAAAGGCGTAGCTTTAGAAAGGCTCAGAACGACTACAGTTGAGTTGACATAGATTTTTCAGATCGTTCCGTTGAAATAGGACTAAAGTGGATGACTGGCATTCTATCGTCAGTAGCGATACTGCTGTTTATCGCTTCTATATTTCTTGGATGCTATATGCGACGTATCACACTACATCCGGAAACCGGAATGACTTTCCGAAAATCGGAACACAAGTGAGGAAGTTGCTTTGTTCATTGACTATTTATTTATGTACAAGCGACTGCATTCAACCGTGCCCTGTAACAGAGCAAATGCAGGGCTAAATTGAAGCACGAGCGTCGCTCGAAGTGCATGTGGCTGCGTTGAGAGTTTGCGATGACGCGCAGCGCGCCGGCGCGAACTACAGTGCGTCACAGCGCGTCGACACGCGTCATCGCGAAGTCTGAACCCTGCCTAAGTAAGCAGCACAATGTTTACCTGTTTAGCTCTATGTCAACAATAGTTTCGTCATCACCGATTCCTCGTAAGGAACCGCCTCCATGGTCGCCGTCGAGAGCAACTCCAAATCACATCCCAGCAAAGCGGGACCCAGTGCCAGCACCGTCTATACTTCGCCATACTCGCTCACCTTTCAGGGCCTATGAAACGTCCACTTGATTGCAACCTATTACTTCGAGATTGTGTACATATTGACTTATCGAACTTCTTATTAATCATAGGCGCAGTCTACGTTGATCTTGTGGGTGGAGACAGTCAACCATTAAACTCTCTCGATAGCCTTAGTGCAGCCCTCTTAAGCGTTTCAGATGGAGGGGCGCACAAAGGCAACGCATAACGGTTGAATGTCTCCGCCCACACATCTGACGTAGACTGTGCCTTTGATTGTTTCTCTGGGGCCACTCTTTTTGAATTCTGCTCACTCATTCACTTCCGAAACTGTTTCCTTTCTGTTCTCTACGTTGTCACGTTGGAAGGTAAGCAGGTGTTTACACTACATAAAATGCCCCTTCCGAATTCCTGTTATATAAAAAAAAAACAGAAAATCAATACGTATAAATTTTCATTTCTCCATACATTTCCTGCAGGCAAAAAAAAAACGGTTTTAACATCGTACTCACTGATATTTCTGATTTGATCACGATGTCCGCAGTGCTTCGAATCAGCGCGTATCTCGGGCGAGCGTCACCAAATTAGCTCGGATTTTCGCGATGTCTAAGCGGCTTGAGGGACCATTGGCCGCAGATGGAAAACATGGGCCAGAAACCTAACACTACGTTTCCATTGTGTGGCGTCTTTCCGCCAATGAGAGGCGTTATTCCCATAAGCGTCTCTTCCTTCCGCCATCGCTTATTACGAAATGTGCGTTCAAGGGTATATATGTGGTGCTGACGAAGGCCTCGGATGAGGATGAATTGAAGAAAAGAGAAGAAGAAGAAGAAAAGAGAAAAAGACAGTCGGTAGCTTGGCTGTTTTGCAAGAGCACTAGCAGCACCTTGCATACCACTGGTGCGTTCTCACGCATAAAATCACAATAGCTATATAGAACACTTCATTTAGGCACATAGTTTTTCTGTGGTATAATATGATTAGGTATGGCGTAAAACACGCTTGCCTCTATGCGATGGAAAACGGACAAATCATATTCAAGAAATCATCACAAGAACAGATGGGTTACTGTGAATGAATTCTCGCATTCTAGCTTATAATTACAATCATCTAAAATGACAGCAGCGCTGTGGACAGGGGCGGAGCAATCAAGGGAGCGATGAGGCCGCGAAGCAGGGAAGCATAAGGACGTCGTCACGATCCCGATAAAGCCGCTAGAAGCCAGCACCACGCACCCCTATTTGTGGCCGTACGCGGTCTTCTCAAAATATAGCGCTTTGTAGGCGGTTGGGTTAGGCGCTGTGCACGGGTGCCGACGAGCAGGGATAGTTTGATCCTATCCTGAGCAAAATCTTAGGTTCAGAAAAGCAGGCGCGGTACTCCTAACAATTGGCGTGGTTTTGAAATGTTTCCATCCGTGAAGTACAGTCGTCATCCTTGCACTTGATAGGGGCGTGTCGGCGAGAAGGAGCGTGCACACTGTTTGAAGCCTTCTCAGCCTTTTCGTTGAAACGCGTATGCGACAAAAAGTGATAGAAAACGAGTAACACGAAGGATATAATACAGTAATGTCACTTCCTGGTTCAACGATTGGTGCAGTACGGGTGCGGGCGACCGCGCCGCACGCAGCCGCACTGACATTGACTATCAAGTGCAAGGATGACACGTGTCGATCCGTGAATGTACGCAATTGCACCTACCGGGAGACTAACTCAGGGAAACAGGCTGGATCCAGTGTCCTAAAAAGCGCTTGAAATAGAGTGCGAGTAGAAGTAGCGAGTGCACACAATAGCACCCAGTTTACGCCTGGGTAGCAAGTGGCTAGGGTGGAAGGTGGAATTAGCGTCGCTCTCGCTTCCTGACCCCCTCCTGCTTTCTTCTTGGGTAACACCGGCTGCGTTATGCCCATTTGCGTGCGTTCACGGGCCAACAGATTTAATGTCACGCGCAGTGTTTAGGGGTACTGTATCCTGCTTGTTTTTCTGAACTCATAATCTTGTGTCTCACCCATTGCGCTCCTCAACTACCTTAATGTCCAGAGCTGTGTAAATGTTGCTCCTACTCCTAAGTTCGCATTTCGCAGTTTCACTTCGCAGTTGTAGCCGCAGTTGCGGACAAAGTTCCAGTGTCCAAATGTCTACGGTATTCCTGCTATGAGTACTTTCAAGGTAATATAGTACAGGAGATAAATAAAGTATCCTAGACTATCAATGAACTCCTTTTCTGAGATCCATGAAGAACACCATTACTCCTTCATTACCATCGTGCATTTTGAGTTCATATTCCGGCTTTCCTACACAAATATAGCCGTTATTCGCCAGCAGGGTCTGATTCGCCAACGACGATGCTTCTGAAGTGATTCCTTGAAAGCCTTGCCTCTGAAATGAATACTGATCGGAAAGGGAAGAATAACTATGATTGTATGAGACTTATGGTGGTAAGAAAGCACCAAAGTGAATTCTTAGGAAGACCACCATGCGTACTCAAAGGCAGAAGGCACTATTGCTGGGGCGGGCGGTTGCCGCGAACGAGGTGGAAGGGGTGCGAGAGGGCGTGGCTACACGCATTCAGCGCTTCCACCAATGACGTTGGCGACAACCGCCCGCCCGCTGCCTTTGAAGGGTTCTCTATATTCTTGATCAATTCAGTTTTCAGTTGAATAAACACTTTATACAGCAGTATCGGCTTGATGGTTGAAGACACACTCCGCGAT